TGCATTTAATTGCACTGACTACTTTTTAAATGAAAGTCAAACTAGTAGAGACAAATATGAGCATGAAGAGGACCTCATGGAGCCAGTCCAGCATGTGAGAACTGCATCCCAGGTTTGCTCCCTAAGTAGGCAGCAGAGTGAGCCTGAAAGCAGGAACATTGGTTGCCTCTTCTACCACAGATGACAGTATCAGCCAGAGCTGTGTGCCCACAGGCAAGAGAAGCATGCAAATTTGCAGATCCGTGGAGTGCCCTGCACAGATGAAATGAAAAACAGCTTTAGCTCAGGCTGCTGCCTGATACTTATGCTTTTAGCCCATTAGCTGAGGAAGGGATGTACCTCAAACAGGTGTCACTAGACCTTTAAACTTTGAATGCCTGACCAGCTGCCAGTTGGCTATTTACAACAGAAGATAAAGCAAGGTTCATGGCAGCCAAACTTCCTCCGCTCTCTGTTCCTCATCCTATGACTGAGCTGACACTGATCTGAAAATGGTCCTACGCCAGTGTGTGACTAGACAGCATTACCCCAGTAAAGCATAAATCTGACCCAGTTTGACTTGGCCGTTCAATTTTGAATGGCACACAGCCAACTTGCTACCAGTTGGGTTATTCATGCTGCAATAGGAAGTAATCTTCCTGACATGCAAACTTCCTTCTTCTTCTGCCTCAGCAGCAGTGTAGGCAGGCAAAGATGCTGAGTTAGATAAAGAACACTCTGACCTTGTGAAGATATGGGTCTTGACCCAAGGCTGAGCTTCTCCTTCACTGTGCTACCCAGCAGCAAAAAAYGTGCATGGCAGATCTTGGAAACACAGAAAGCAGTTGTCCTTCTTGCAACAGAGAACTGCTATTGCAGCTCCTATACCAGCACTCCTCCCGCCTATGAATGCAAGTGTAGGATCTGAAAACCCTTGGTGGCTAGGATGGACCTCTGTGGGGATAATATAAACTGAGATTCAATTCTGCGAAATGCGATTATATTTACGTTGATGTCAAGAAGACTAATCTATTAGAAAAAGGCTTCATCATCTGAGGGTTAAAGTAGTTACAYGATATCACATCTTCTTCTCCCCTTTCCTCATGGAAACTCTTCATACAACTGAAAAAAAGACTATCCGAGCCAGTGCATTYGATTATTCTAATCACTTAAGCTGATGCACAATAATCTTCCTCCAGAACAGCAAGTTAGGATAATTATCTGTCCCACCTAAAGGAGCTGAGGCATTGATATCCCCAAGCCATGTGTTTGTGCAAGRCCTTCCATAGCTTCTGACCTGAAACAGAAGGAGAGTCCTAGAAAGCAAAGTCAGTGATAAGAACTAGTAGAAGTACTTAGGGAAATTAAAACTCCAACTTGATTGCAATCCATTTGTAGGAGCTGAGGTGTAGAGAACTCTGTAATGCTCCAAGCCAGATAAGTAGCCTGCAATAGGGATAATTTAACRTTATTTATAGAAGTATACTGTGCTTAAGACAGCATAATTCATGCTCCCCACCCTGCAAGCTACTTCATTCTGACCATAGCATTTTAAAGTCAGATTCCCATGGGGAACCTTCACCTCTTCACCAATCATTTGTATTAGTTTTCCAGAAGATCAGGAGGGCTTTAGGGCAAGTGCATGCTAGGAATGTTCTCCCGCACCTATTTGCATCAGGGCACAGAATACAAGGAGAAATACGAGTAGTGTTCAGATTGAGTTGACTGTTTTTCTTCTCCCCAAGATCAATATTCATTTATATCTGGACAAAAAGAGCTAAGAAATAGAGTTAATGAAGYAGCATATTTTACAARAGTAGRAGATATGTACTAAATACCAAGTACCCCAGGCATATAATTTTGCATTCAGTCAAAAGAGCATACATAAAAGAAGTTGGAGCTGAAGAGTTTGGGATTTTTGGGTGTGTTTCTTGTTATTTACAAAGAACACGCACAGAATTCTGTCTCCTTGAATACAGCAGGGACAACAACAGGAGGCAGTTTCTTTGTTCAGAAAATCAAACCTGTTTTATGCCAGCATTCTGTCCAAAATTAGTTTTTTTTMCCCCCGCTCTGGATTTCTTCCAGGGCCATGCTACTAGCACTTCCTGGGCTGGCCCTGGATGTTTTTTTAACTGCATTTTCATTCCGTTCACTTCTCACTCACACATATGCAGTCCTGCAATCTAACCAGAGCCAATTGTCTGTGCTTGTAAAGCATCCCAGAGATTTCTGCTATTTCAGTGGCAGTGTCTAGCATTTCATTTATTGCTAACCAAAASGTTAACCAAAAAGATGTACAATTAAAGTAAAGCAGTCAAACACCATTAGATTGTTAGGTACTAAGGTAGCCTGAATTCATAAGGTACCTAACACGTACCTTATGTTCTGAAAGACAGGTTCTTAGGTTCTGAAAGACAGCATCTAAGAGGGAGTTAATTGCAGTTTACCTAATCTACATTAAAATTAATTTTGTTTAACATTCTTGAGGGTCACCTTGTATTCCTTAAACATAAATATTGTCTCTATGACTCATTTCATGACAACCATGAAAATGAAAAATGTCTGGTCAGTGTAGTATTAATATATACTGACATGCTTGAAGCAGTATGTAACAGGCACTCAACATTGTTCTGAAAAATAACTCCAGCTGATGATATAATGATATACAAAACAGAAGGGTATAACAATGCAGTCCCTCTGCCAAATTTGCTCTTAGCAGCAATGACTGATAGACGTGACTCATGAACACTGCAATTTAGTAAATGCTTTGCTGTTTGGTAGAGTGGCATAGCTCTAATCAGCTTTAGGAAGCAAGGAGAGATTTCACTTCATCCATCCATGGGAAAGTGGCAAACTGCTCTGTTGCCCCAAAAGCTGTCTGAAGCTTAAAAAACAGCTAAATCCAAATGACAAGTTAACATTTGTTTCATTCATAATTGAAGGAGAACAAATACCTGGTGAATCAGAAACTCTAGAATTCATGGTCCTGTAAAAAAATTTTTTTTGGTGTCTAAAGTTTCTGAACTCTGAATGAATGAATGAGGTCTGCTGAATGAGACCTGCTTATTACCGGTATGAAACTTCTTTAGTATAGAGTCCTGCCTGTGTTATTGAGAAGCAATATCAGCATTTTGTCTGAGAAAAATCCTTTCTGTGCTCAAGCTGTTCTTGCATTCCCTTTTAACACGTGGAGGGCGGTAACTCTCAGCCTCCAGATTTAATCTACCTGTTCTCCAGCATCACTACCTTAAGCCTCACAGAAAATGAGTGCACTTACCTCTCTTCCCTTGCTGTCTCTGCATGGAGACTGGTTTCCTAATGAGCAATCACATTATCTGGGTAAAAGCAAGCAGCATGAATATCAACTTCTTATTCCCTGAATATTTCCATATAGTCCTATTTTACTTTAGAAAAAAGGAAGAGCTAGACATGTCAAGTGCAAGCTATTAAGTGCCCAGAAGCATTTACAAATGCAACTCAATTTACTTGTGTGCTGTCATCTAATAACAGCAAATAATAAAAAAATAATCAAAATAGATTCTAGAATTAAATCTGAATTTTTTCTGAAGTGAAAGCTTTTCTCTTGGTAGAGATGTTAATTGAAGTCAATACAGCTTTGTGGAAGAATAATTTGATTTAAAACAGCTTTTCTTTCTGGCTGAAATTATTCAGAAAGTGTTTCCCAACTGTAGCTACTCTTGACCTGATAAAAACTTCAGCTATTCTCTAAAACTTGAAAGCTCTAATGGTTATATATGCCACACTGTGTTCCTTTGACTTTTCCCCTTCCTTTAAAATGTAATCCTATGACAGATCCATCTATTTGTTTATCTTTCACAGTACAGAGCCATGCACATTTCTTGTCCTATACAAATGATTAATAATGTCATGACTTTTAAGACACTGACTACCAAGGAACACTTTGCTTCTTACCCTCTGCTGCATAATTTGAAGTCTCCCACCCCCATCCATGACACACAGGCCTGTCATTCTCTTTCACTGTCATTTCCTTCTATTTTATCTAAGTGTTTCAGAGTTTTCCCCAGGAAATTCTTTTCTATTCATTTTTAGTGTTTTTAAAGGAGCAAACAAGATGAAAGCTTAAGGGAAAAAATGCTGTCTTTCTTGACATTGTAAATATAGCTGAGGTTTCCCTTTTTGTAGCCATGTGGGATGCAATCTGAAAACTATTAAGGTTTAAGCAGTTAGTGAAGCCTTCATTTTATAGCACAGCAGATGCTCTGCTCAAACTAGGTATATTTCAAAAATCATTTGAAATGCAACACAGTCAGAGGAAGGGGGTATCAGATTTCAGTAGAAATCTGAAACCTAATCGTTCTTCACACTACAGCATCTCAAAAGTTTAAATACTTATTGGTTTATCGGCATTTCTTATTAGAATCTTCAGACCCAAGAATATAACTTTATTGCCTTTTTATGGTGTAAACCAGAAATAACTCATTTGATGTAGGGTTGTTGTTCCAATGTGCAGCATTTAATCAGGCTCCAGTAAAGCAGATGAGAGCAATTTCCTTTTCTTTGGCTAAGCAGCAGAAGATGAAGTGTCTCTTCACATTTCTTCCCAGCACCAGCAGGCACTGTGCAGTTACCTTGCTGAACACTCTCAGCAATGTCTTCCCGTCTGATAACATAGCTGAGTAGTACAGAATTGTGAAGAGAAAATAAGCCTGTAGTAGTGAGGGATTTCTCCATCTTCCACCTTAGATTTTTCTTCTAACGTGGTAATGTATCTAACAAGTAGGAAGAATTGAGAAAGAGGAATTCCCTTGTTACCATGGAAATTGCAACTTGGCAGACTGACAAGAGAAAATAGATTTGTTTGATTAAAAACTTCAGCAGCAGAGGAGAACACAAGAAGAGAATCGCAAAATACCTAAGGCCGGAAAAGACCTCTGGAAGTCACTGAGTCCAACCTGCAGTCCAAGGGGATCCAGTGGGCCACGTTGTTGAGGACATCAATCTGAGCTGAGTTTTGAGCATCTCCAGGGATGTAGATTCCACAGCCTCTCCAAGCAACTTGTTTCAGTGTTGGACCGCAGCTGAAAAATCTTCTTTGAGCTCTGGAAATTCACTATGGCTTTTCCTCACCTGACTGGTGAGGCCACGTGTTCTGCTTGCCTGGCCAGGCTGTGTGATAGAAGATTGATTTAGTCACTGCAAAGATTTAGTTTAGTCATTGCTGATAGATGTTTGACAGAAAGTTCTTGAAAAAAAGAAATCTGTGGGGAAAAATAAAATCAAAATTTTAGCTTGCTGACAAATGAAGATCAGTTTAGCTGGAAAATATTTCCATTCCGTCACCTCAGACTGGGTGTAGTGAGTCACTGAACCTAGCTGCAAATTAAGTCCTGTCATTCAGCAGTAAACACAGAACTAAAAGACTCTCATGGACACTCTGTAAAATCCCCAGACTTACTCTAATAATGAAATGGCTGTCTACAACCTCTATTCAAATATTTACTGAAATTGTTCTAATTAACACTTCAAACATATGTTTGAATACCCGAACTGAGGATACAACCACCACCTTGGTATAATTATTCATACAAAGCACGTATGATAGTGTAGATACTATTTTTATTTCCTCACTATGTTTCTATAAAGAAAAGAAAGTCGCACATACCTACACACAGTCACTGTGTGATGTTTGGAAGTCCAAGTAAAATAATTGCCCAGTGCCTCTGATTTATCGGACCACACAGCTTTATAGCTGCCTGTTTCCCTTGTTCACATCAACATCCATGTGACCTTGTCCATGCCTCATGTGCTCTAACAAATCTCCACACATTCTTTCTCAGGTTATCATAGTTACTTCCCTGTCCCCTTATAGTTAAAGCACTAGAAAAGTAGCTCTTGTAACTTTATCATTATATAACATCAGTTTTCACAGATATCTTCTCACCAGTTATCTAGGAAGATATCCTATTTGAATTTGTATAAACATTTTGTGCCACTAAACTGGAAGTCACTTAATTTTGCACCTGTCCCTTCCTTAGTTTAAATAATACACACATATTTCTCCTTCCTGCTATTGTTCTGCCATATAGGAAAAGTGAGGGAGTTGAAAAATTATGAAGGAAGTTACATTAATGTATATGAGAAAGACACATTCATAATAAATGAGTTAACATGTGCCTGAATTAACTAAAGGAAAAAAAAAAAAAAAATCAACTCACAGTATCAGAACTTCCCCCTCCCCTCAAGTTACAGGTGTATTTTTTCTGCATGTGGTCTACATCCAATTCCTATTTTCCTTGCTTCCCTCATCAGACATACGTTCACAGCAATAGCGACTATGGTTAAAACTCGGTTACACAATCTCCCCATGTATAAGATTAGCCATGTGGGATTATACACCACATGGATAGGTCAAGGTTTAAATACTAGTGATGGAGCTGTCACCGCATTCTACAACTCATTGCAGAGCTTCAGTCCAGAGAAACTTAATACATTTAAGGATTGGTCCAGCCGATAGGTCACGAGTTTCAAAAATGAAAAGCACGAAGACAACAGCCTGGCCTTTGTACTCAGCAGTTACATGACTTGGATAAATACAGACAAACAGTGATTTACAATAAATAACTATGAGTTATGGCACTAAGTGCTATGGATTCCATGACTTGCTGACAACTTGAGGTAAAAACATTCACCTTGCTCATGATACACAGGAAAAGTATTAGTAAATATATGGATAGGTAAATGTGTATGTAAAAACCATCTAGTATACATTTCAAAAGAAATCATGGCAAGTGTGGAGAGGTATTTGTTTCTGATTTAGCATTATTTGGTCAAACATGAAATGAGTCAAGAGTTGTGTAGTGACATATCCTTCACCACAAAGTTCTTCTAATTGCTCTTTTATACATAGAAGTGAATGGATGAAGGTCACTAGGACCTCCATAAACAAATAACATTATTCTTTATTTTCATTACTCTAAAACCATTCCAAGGATGCCATCCTATTGGTAGAATTAGAGCTTGAGCTTGCAAAGCTCTTGAGAGCCAGCATCTCATGCTCCATCATTACAGAGGATTTTTTTTCCTTGCCATACAGTGTAACCAGTACCACAGTAAGAGGAATTCTACTTTTGCGTACAAAGCCTTTTACAGAACAAGCTGTTTCCTCAATATTATTTGTTCTGATAGCTGAAAATAAAATCTTTTTTTTTGCCAAAATTGTGATGATGTTGAAACAATACATTTTTTAACTACATGCAATTTTAGTGCAACTAGTAGGTATTTTCTGTAAATAAAAATACCAGCAGAAATAGAACAGAATTCATCAGGTATCTAATGAGTCAAAAGTTTTCCTTTGAAATAAACAGAAGAGAAATTTGGTCTTACAGATAATGAACAAACATGTTGAAAGTATCTAAAAGATGACAAGTAGGTAGATTCAAGACATAAAGCCTATTGAGTCAATGACAAACTTGGAGCTGTTCTAATACACCAGAAACTTGCACTCAATTTTTCTGTAATTTTTGCAAAATAATCTGCCAAATTTCCAGCTAACTGACATTTGTAGTTTAGAGCCACAACTACAGAGAACTGTGTATATAAAATTTTCTTGAACTTGTGGCTCAATTTACATGTTGGAATTTGAGTTACAGCTCTGTTTGTAGGGTCTGAATAGTTCTCCCTTCATCCTGCTTTCATTTGTCTTTGGCAGTTGCTTATTCAGCACGATAAGAACCAACAGTCATCTGTAATACCAGGTCTGATTCTAGAAGTAAATGCTTTGTAATACCGTGAGCCAACCTCACATTATTTCTTCTGCCTGGCTTCCAAGTGCGCATGACTCCTTGGTCCCATGAAGCAGCAAAATACTGTTCTGCTTATTTGCCCAGTTTCTGTCCATGCTGCTGAAATTTATAGCTTACAGCTACAATACACAGCTTGGGCACACAAAACAGTTGTTCAATGCCAGAAGTGCAGTATCACATTTATCATTAGCAGGAGGAAGTGCACAAAACACCAGCTGGCTTTCAGTGCCAATACAGTGCACAGGCAGAACATTTTCTCCCCTCAGAAAACAATTTGACCTTGCTTACAAGTTGATAGTTTTCAACCATTTTAATCTATCCGTAAAGAGAATTGTAGTCTCATTCCAGCTTCACAAAAAAAAGACATAGGTGGGTCCAGATATAGCAAGGTATCTTTCACACTGGTTCATTGTAGAAAGGGTGAATTCAGATTCTCGGTTTACTGCCTAAGTGTCAAGGAACAGCAGCAACAGCAAGAGGCTGCAGTAGTATTGATCAGACACAGAAACGCAGGCAGGTTTGTAACAAAGGAAGAAATCCCTGCTGTCCTCCTTACCTTACAGCGTGGGGTGAATGCTCAGCTACCCAGCAGCAACAGTGGCACCAACAAAAGAGAAATATATCTGCATGGATAAGATCAATAAACAGAAAATGGTTTGCTGACAGGTAAGGGAATACCAAAAATAACCTTGCCAATGATTAGACAGAAATCGTACAAAAATTCATACTATGAACAAAGATTAAATTAGACAAGGCCAAAATTAGGTTTGTGCCATAAATCGCAATTCTACTGTAGGTTTTTCTGCACTTACAGACTGAAATTCGCTCTATTACTAAAGGCTGCTCTTTTCTGGAATGTCTGACATTTTCAGTTTTATACCTACATTTTTTCCCTTCAGGTCATTTAGGGAAACAGGAAGCATTCTCACTTATTATGTTTCTGCTCATTGTTTCAACAGCATTCTCTGTGTTGCCCTTTTAACCACATTTCTAAAGTCTACTTTGAGATGGATTACTGCTTTGCTTTTGAGACCCCGTAGGTTTCTAAGAGCAGAAATAACCCTACTGAGCTGAAGCAAAGACACATACGATAGCTTATACCAGTGGAGAAACTGGCTTCTATATTATGTGTTTCTACAGAAACCAGGGAGCTCCACATGCCTGAATTTAGCCTTTTGTAGTGCTGTAGTGTGAAAACAGTTATATTGTGAATCAAAGTCAGTGTTACTGAACCATCCAAGCACACCTTGGGTTCTATGAAGTTTCTAGGTTAATTGTGTTGAAATTGAAGAACTGTCACATTTTCCAGACTTGATAGGGTTTGCTAGGAACATAGAAAAGTTACAAGACCATGTCCCTTCCCAGAATCTTCCTCTATCCTTGCCTCTGGTACTATGAAGTGTTGGGGAAGCAAGGCAGTAGGGTAATACCACCTAGACCTGGCATATGACTGCCTGGAACTATTAAATTCTATTCACAGACAGAATTCACCGAGATACCACACAGCTGCCAGCAAAAGCTGTAGACAGTACATTTTACACCCAATATTGTGTGCCTCATTTCTAGGACATTCTACCAGGTACTTGATTCTCAAAGCTGACGAAAAGCACAGAAAATCCACATGAAATATCATCTGAAAGAGCTCTACATTCCTAGAGAGGCTCTCCAAATGGAGACAGATATCAAAAGTTTGAGTCTAAGTGCATTGTTAAAGTGGAGCAATTACATCATAGGAATGTAATTTCTTAGTGCCTCAGACATTTGGGTTAGTAGCTCAGCAAAAAGGCTCACTTATTTTCTTCCATCCTAAAGGAATATATTTCAGTTCTTACATTAATTATTGGCTATGACCACAACAGAATACAAAGGATACATCCACACTTTGGCTCAGGAGAGACATCAGTCATTTATGCCACTCACAGAAAGTTTTCCAAAATTATTGCATTCCAGAGCAAAACCGATTCACTCAAACTCTTCGTTATAGTCTTTTTTCTTTTTAAAGAATCATAGAATCATTATGGTTGGAAAAGATTTTCAAGATCATCAAATCCAACCATAAGCCCATCCCCACCCTGCCTGTAAAACTGTCTCCCCAGGTGCCTCCTTTGCTTGTTCCTTGGACACTGCCAGGGACAGGGACTCCACCACTTCCCAGGGCAGTCTGTTCCAATGCTCTATTAATCAGCAGTATACTGAGGTAGTTAATTGGATATCACAAGTATTGAAACAACTGGGAAATGTGTCAGTGTACCTGTGAATTGTTGTTTTGCTACTACCCATCCTCATTTCTGACTTTCCTTAATTCATGTAAGATTTGTAACTGCATGCAAGATAGGACAAGCAGCTCCGCTGAAGGAAATATCCATGGATGCTTTTTTCTTTCTTCCTGCACCATAAGGGTGCAGTCCTTACTTCCTCTTCGCTACCACTCCATTTGCATTGGACTTTTCTGAAAGAGCAAGCTTAAGAAATATTAAAAAAATAAACACTGCAGTATAACTTGCATCTTCAGCGCTGCCTGAACAAGTGTCGAGCCTAATTAAATGAGCAGTCTTGCTCAAAACACACACTAATAACCTAACTCACTATAAGAATGACCTCGAATATTTGTAAGACAAAAACCACATGTGTAATTTAGCCCCTGGAGCTAACAGGAAGACTAAGCATTTAGGCAAGCAAAATGTTATAACATGCATGATAATCTCATTGGCAAGTTGAGCACAAAGTGTCACACTTCTCATTAAATGGCAGGGAAGGAACAGAACAAAGTAGAACACAGTGGGGAAGGAAAAAACACATCTGATCCCACATATGGGCACAACTGGAGAAATGAAACACAGTGATGCGCCACCTCAGGACCACAGAAGAGCTGACAGCTGAAGCTCACACTGGAAAGACTAAAGCTCCTTGGATGGGGCATCCAAATCCAAGTGAGAGAAAACAGGCAGCATGTCCTGCTGCTCAAGCCTCCCATGCAACGTCTCAAACCTCCCACGCAACATCTCACAGAGCCACACTGGGACTTGGCTTTTTATTGCTTTGCCTTTGCCACGACGCAAACTCTTTGCATGATCTGGACATGGCTTCTCTGTACAACTGCAGGATTTGACAAGAGGTCCTCAAACAGCTGCGCTTGGGAATAAAAAAATTGCTAGTACACCCATTGCAAATACTTACAAGAGATAAATGTCAAATTATACCATTAAGTGAATGACTTGCCAAATGCTGATTTGGTTCAGGAAGTGGTACATCCGCTCTGACCCTAAGTCATTTAAAAGAACAATGCAAGTATAAAAAAGGACATTAAATAAATTAGAATAATCATCATATTAAATGACAGGAAAGCTTCACCTGCGGCAGGTGACTGATCACGCTTAACTAGTAGGTAAGAAATAAAGCTCTGGTGAATCAAACGGTGCTATAGCAGCCAGATGTACAAAGAGATCTGTCAACAGAAGACTATTTCTTTACAAGGAAACAATAAAAACGAGAATAACTAGCACAGGCCCCTATTTAGACAGGTTCTGAACCATTGCTTAAAACAATCTTCTGAGCCTGAAGAGCAGTCATTTCCAGATCAGACAAGAACAAGAGCAAAGGACAATCAGTCATGAAGCAACAACTCACCGAAAATGATTACTAAAAAAGAACAAAAATGAAGGAACAGGCTTAGCTTCACGAGAGAAAAAGGCAACTTCACAGGCAAGGATTTCAATTTCCCTTCTCTAACTTAACATTTCGGTGCTATTTTTTGCTGATACATAATAGGAAGTGGGACAAGCCACTGCCATGAGTCCCTCACAGGGTAAATTATTCTGTGATTCATTTGGGGAAAAAAAAGGCATACTCAAGACATAGGTGCCACTTGGTTACAAATACATACAAAACATCAGCCCCTAAAAATGGGTAGGCTCTACAAGCCCGATGAGATACCACGCTATTTCCATCGCATTCTTCCTGCCAGCGAGCCATGCTGCCTGGTCACCAGCAGCACCGCAAGGTGAACAGCAGCTTGAGAGAAATCCCAAGCAGACACCAGGCTCTGCTCACGCCAAGGTGCCTTCTGAGCACCCTTGAAGGCCTGGGCTTTGCCACTTGTTTCTATCTGGACGGCTGCCCATAAACTGCTACATTTGTATGACAACCACAGCAGGCTCTTTGCTAAGATCAAGCGCATCCCTGCATTAGCATTTTGTAAGGCTGGGGCTTCAAAGCTTTTATTTGTCAATAGTTAAAAAAATCTTTAAGCTTGCCCAAGGGTAGTAAAAATGCAGCAGAGCAGATTCTGTGGTCTGAATTTCCCCTGAAAGTACTTAACCATTAGGGCAATTTTGTATATGTCTCATCCTTTCTCCATCACAGTTCTCTTTTTCTGTCATTCTGATGTGAGAACTGATAGAACTTCAAACACAAACAAGAAGTTCTCAACAGTGTCTCTGCCTTTTATTTCTCCTTTTTCTCCTCCCTTCCTCTTACCCCTCCCCAAGTGATGATATTATAGAGAACACGTATGAGAAGTTTCTGACAATTTTAAAAATCTTAAGTGTCTTGCTAATTATGCAAAATGAAATCATAATATTCGATTTCCATTCCTATTCTATCAAATTATGTTGGACTGAACTCTAGTTCCAGTCCTGCAGTGCATAGGGCCTGAAAGGAATGCTCTTTTTAATCATTAAATGCCTTTAAAATATTTGCCATTCAAAAATTCATTCTTTAAAATCCTGCCATCCAAAGCAAGGTCTCTTTACTGCCATGTCTAAAGAAGTGCTGCAGTACATACAAGTTCCACACAGATTAATTTAGAAGTTGTTAGAATAACTGAGAATTCACAGTACACTCTCCCCAGAAGTTCCAACATTACAAATTAAGTTATCTTTTTATTTTTGTCTTCTAAAATTCTCCATTAAGGTGGTATTACTGCAAGTCTCCTGCTGCAAGACATCCCTGTTCCTGTTTGCAAAGGGAATGCAATAATTGCTGGTGTGGCAGTCAACCTGAATTACTCAGCGTAGGCAAGACCGTGTGTTGGTAGTTTTCTATTTTATTCTAATGCAGCATTTTCTAATAGCTCTGACTGAGGTCCTAATCTCTCTCCATACATTTTAGGAAGACCCATGGAGCTGAGAACCCCATAAACTTCTTAGCTACATAGAAATTCACAACAACGCCTAATCTAGGACTCTGGAAATTTAACTTGAAGGACACATCTCACAATCCACCTTGAAAAGAAAGCATTGGAAACCTGCCACTATAGGGAACTAGAAAGAACATCTCTTCTAGAGTAGATGTTAGAGGGGATCCCATGGTAGGCAACTGGGAGGCACTGAGCCTGTTGAGGTTTCAGGAGCAAAAAAGCTATTTCAAACACTCATCACGCTGCCTGTGCAAACATATCCCCACACCAAGCAATTCAGTCCAAAGCCTCATCTTTGACAGAAGGCAGCGCTCCTTTCTTCAGCCTTGTTCCTGAAGTAAGCAGAGAGGATGACTTGCAGACAGAGCTGTGGACAGCTGGTGAAAAAAAGTCTCCTCCAAAGAGGAGATTTCCCTTTGCATTACTAAGAATATAGCAATGTAAAACTCTATTGTTTAACAATGCAAAGTTCTAGTGTCCTATTCT